AGAGTCCAAAGGAGTCCTTCCCCACAAGGAGCCTAATACTAGATAAACTTTTTCAATCCCATGATCTAAATACAAATTCTCCACACTATCTGCAATCCATTTCTAATAATTTTCGTTCTTAAAATTTAATGTCAAATCAAACTATCTCTAAGTTGATGTCTTTCTTTCTTTTCATCACCCTTCTGCCATAAACGCATGTATACTGTGAGGAGAAATTTCTTTTGGGTCATTTAAGAGAGAGAGAGTTTTGAGAGGTAGAGACAATTTCGCTTCATCAACTCGAGTGAATGTACATTGGCTACGGCAGAGAAATTCCAGAGATGACGTTTCGAGCCTTAGCCCTCCGTTAGAGCGACTGGTTGGCCGATAGCCTGTTGCAAGCGTTCTAGTAGTTAAACGAAGCGTGATATTAATAGCGTGGGGAAAAGGAGCGGAGGAGCGAAAAAATGAGGGAGGCTTGGGTCGACGCGACCCAGACCTCCCTCGCTTCTTTTTTTATCGCGCCGCATACTGTTTCGCTCCATTTTACTAACTGAACGCCTGGAACAGGCTTGTTAGCCGATTAAAAGCCAGCCTAGTTCCCAGGCATACGAAGAGGACCTGCGCAACAAACATTCATCTTCTGCAACTAATTAAAGCTTAACTTCTCCTCACAGTTTTAGTACGTATCCAGCCCGCAGGTAATGAGAATAGAAAAACGAATCAGCTAAAAGGGCGTATAGTCCATAAAATAATATGAAGCAGCTGAGCGGAGAGTTCCTATTCGGATCATGGGATTTATAGATGAAACGTGAACTTCTTCGAAACATTCTTACAGTATAACATAAAACATATCGTGTACTCTTGAGTAGAACGTGAAAACCCCCTTTCCAAAAATATCCACGAAAGTACATTTATAGACTGAACTAACATATATTTTCTAATTAAGGTCGACATATTCCAAATAAATACTGCTTTTGAGATTAAATTTTAAACCATATCTTCGATAATTAAAACTCTTTCCTCTCCATGATCTTCAAGACACTTATTTACTGTGTTAACAATAATTTTCAATCTTCTGTCGATGGCTTTGAAGTGTGGATCGGAAAGTACCGGTGACACAGGATCATTCTCGGTGGCTTTCCGTAAAAGTTCACTTAGAGACATCTTCCCTCTGGCGATAGATTGAAAGCGGTTCCAAGTGGAAAGGCGAAGTCTAAAAGTGAGGTAAGAGATTACTCAGTCAACCAAGAAAAAATGAGAGGAGAGAGAAAGAGAGAGAGCAAAGCTCGAGTTCAGCCTTTAGGATATATCTATGCCCATAAGCTTTTTAAAGACAGTCTCTCGAACGGAAATGTATTTTCTGAGACGTCCGCATTAATGCCAAGAGAGCTCGATTTGATGTTCTGATTGAAGACGATATAACAGCCGACAGCAGACTTTTTTTGTTCAAAACCACCTCAACAAAAAAATTAAATTTAAAAAAGGGGAATTGATATTTCTCTATCGAAAATTCAAGGAGGTCGGAGACTGAACTCCTTTTTTCGTTTAAAACTAAATGCAACATCAGATGTAACTTACGTGATGCTTTCTTTTTATAATGTTGCAGAACTTTTAGCTTTTTAAATATCTTTTTTAATGTAAAGCACCATGGACAAATAGTGGATTGAGCGCTATATAAATATTTTATTATTATTATTATTATTATTATTATTATTATTATTATTAGCGAAATCAGCAAATCCAAGCAAAAGCGCTGATTGGTCAATTTCTCGAGTTCACTGAGCAGATATACGGCCTGTAGGGCTCTAACAGGGCGAGATAGCAGGAGAAAGAAATTTTATGGGCCTTTGAAAGAAACGGTAGTTTATTAACGAGAGAGAGAGAGAGGTGTTACCACGAGGCCACTTATATTTCTCACACAAATTTAGATAATAATTTCATCAAAGATGCCTCTTTTCCTTCTCACCTGCAACATTGATAAATAGGAGCCAAGATAGTCATTTCATCGCGATAAGGATCGCCGAAGCTGAAAGAGGAAAAAAAAAGGATAATAAAATTCCCCTCATTTTAGATCACTTCATGTTAATGTGAAATGGTAAATTATACCACGCGAGCGGAAGAAATAAAACAAAGGTGTATTCCTGGGCTGGCATATTAAGATAACAGCTTAGGCTGGCAACCTTCAGGAATGTCTTTCGCTTTGGATAAGTTGTCACTTGTTACACACTGTTAAGAAATGAAATGGTCAGCTTACTGTGTCTGTTGATTTTGTCTTTCTAAAACAATGATGAACTTATAAAATAAACAGATCAGTGAACGCTCTATAAAGTTCTAACGACTCATCGCAAAACTCTTACCTCTTAGCATTATCCAGATGCAGTGGCATTCCAGTGTCTCCCTCGTCTTTAAAGGTTTCGTAGTGATGCCTGTCTGCATTGCCTGATGAATCATAGAATCGAATTTTTCTAAGTTTTCAATATCGTAAAATATTCAATAATTAGAACTCGAACAATTGAAGCTGGAATGGATCATTCTGGAGCAAGGGAAGTAATCACAGAAACAAAACGAGAACTCAAGGTAGATTCATAAAAATGAGGAAAACGCGGATGACCAAGCCAAAATACTTTTAGTTTTTGTATGTGACTAGTTGAAAGAATAGTGCACATTCTCTACTCCAGTTACTGATCAAAATACGCTAAATTAACGCAAACCCTCATTACTTATAGTGCCGCTATAACGTACAATAGCATTACACGGGCTCAACTCACTTGCACTTACCACACACTAAACGCACGAAACACGAACACAGCGCGTCACTACACGCACCTACGCGTAACAAAAGATGCTAGACTATGTGCAAAATGCGTGTAAATTACACGAAATCAGTCAACTAGAATTCAGTAAATGCATTTACTGAGACATAACAGTGTGTAAAAAGACAAAAAGATCTGGCTCTTATTTTGTTGTAAGATTTCTGATGAGCATGAGCGGCACCAAATGCCCACCATTTCCCTCACAGACAATACCAAATGAATACTGTCAGCCAAGAGGTACCTACCGATTAGGAAGTCAAACAGTGCTGTGTCCAAGAGATCTAACAAGCGAGGACCAAAATTATATGGAGGCTTGTTCAATACCTTGTTCTTACAGTAGTTATTGTCAGTCTCCCATCTGTGTAAAGATAACCATCGGTAGGGGTTCAATTTTTTCTCTGTTCAATATGTGTTGAATTCTTGATAGAGAATTGTAAACAACTTTGCCACTAACATGCACTACACTGGTATTTTTTTTTTATGTACAGATATACAGATGCAAGAAACCAAAATGACAAGTTTTGCTACTTTTTTTCTTCTTTCAAAGATTTAGATGTTTCTATCTCTTCCAATTTCCTGACACCTTTGTCCCCATGAGCTCACCCTCGAGGATCTAACTCCATACCAAAAAGACAAGTTTTTTTCCCAATGGTTTGTTTTTCTGAAAATAGTAAGATGTCTTTATTTCTTTCTGTTTCCCAACACTTTTCTCCTCATGACTTCAACAGTCATTCCTTTGCATACTATAAATCCTTTAAGCCCAAAGAGTGACAACCGTCTAATTTTTCTTCACAAAATCACCCCTGAATCATACATTAGGGTCAAGAGAATCAAAGAAATGATCATCAACTAAAGAAGCCTCAGATTGTTTAAAAAAATTCTCCTTGTAAGCAAGGAAATATATAGAGAACAGTATGGAGAATATGCATACTGATGTTAGGGAGTATACACAAGATGCATCATACAATTCACTCACAGAGCCTTTCTGGCGCCACTGTATGCTCTTATCCAAGGATGTGCCCACTTTCCAAGATTCCATCCTTTTGGTAGCCACAGTGTTACTGAGCCTTCCATGATTGTACCATTGGCACAGGCAGCATTCTTTTTGTTACAATAGTAGCATTGGCCATAGAAGCAAGTATTTCCATCTGAAAGAAAAACAACAATCATCACATCATTTTGATTCATTTAACCCTTCAACCACTACGAGCGACTGGCTTCTAATTTCTCCTTACAGTACCACCCTTATATCAAATTTAAAGGTCATAAGAATAACGAAAATGATCACAAATTTATGATGTTCTTGATTGTCATACAAATTCTCCTTTTCAGTACCAAACAAAGGTATAGAGAACACTATGGAGAATATGGATACTGATGTTAGGGTGTGAAGGGTTACATTAAGTAAGATTTACAGCTGTAGATTGCTAAGTCTTCTGTGATTAACTGATTCATATTTATGGATCATTACGAGAGAACATTTTTTTCTGAAATTGTCTTTACAATAATTACTATACTAACAATGCTTATGTTACTTATTATACAAACCCTATTTCTATTTATATCTATCAATACTCAAGTTTAAGAATACTTATGAAGGGATTTTTCTCTTAAACTAGCTTATAACACAAATTATATGAAGCTTACTAGCATTACAAATTTTAAATCAATAATTAGCTTATTCTACATATTAAGCAGTATTTACACTTGGCAAGGAAATTACAATTTATGAGAGGTAGACTAGAGCTTATCAAAGACACAATGCAGATACTTCAGTTATATACATTTTTGAGCTTGAGTTTGTTAACAAAAAAAGAAAAGGAAACATGACATGTTTAGAAAATTCCCCTCTCAGTTTCTTTAAATAGTTAAAAGCTGCCTTACCTTTCTTAAAGAATGTGTCCAGAAGCCTCTTGTCTCCAATTGGTTCTATTTCATCTTCTAAGTTTATTTTTCTTCCAACAACTGGTGGTGCCCGGTAGAAACCTAAAATTCTTCAAAAATAAATTGATAGTAAGAAAAATTGATTTTACGATTGTGTAATCAGAATTTAATCCCTAAATAATCAAGAAAATAAATAGCTACCAAAACTCAATTTCCACTAGATTCAAAACTAAACTAAACATCTTGTATTGTTTAATAATTATTATGATAATAATAACAATGGTAACAACATAATTATAATTTATAATTGTTACTAATGAAATATTTTTTATTATGATATTTAAATTGTTACTATCATAATTTTCATCATTTGTTTATCATTATCATTAGTTATTTCTCACTTTTATTTACATAATTTGCCATGAAAAAGTATATTTAGTCATGAGTTTCTGTGTTTGTGTCCCAGATGGATGGCATGGGATAACATCTCCATACAAAGTGTGTTTAATGTGATAGGGTTTTAGTGGATTATGAGCCAAGATCTGGTTGTCTAGCAACAACTGGATTCAGGAAGTGTATTAATAGGGCTCTCTTATCGTAGCATTCTATGACATTTTTATGATTTACCTATCCAAATGAAATGCAGCAATCTCTCCATTGTGTCTATCAAAACCAGCATATGGAGTTCCCTCTACTATAAAATCTCTGGGGTACCTGAAGAAAACATAAATTGTAAATCAATCGGACTTTGCTTTATTTTGCCTCGGCCTATTTTAGATGACACTCTCAATATCAAATGCAATATTTAGCCTAAGTACATACACATCTTGATTAACACTTCAGTTGAGAAGCTTTTAACCCTAATGCAAATTAATTTTCTTCTGATGTTTAGTAGTGTGAGTGTGGTTCCAATCAATGCAAATGACTGATGCACTGGCATCACATTGGTTGGATTACATTGACTACTGTCCTCTTTGAATTAAAACGAACAGCAACAAAAAAATACTACTAAAAATATTACTTAAATAATAAGAAATTAATTTGTAGGTGAGGTGTGATGCTATAAAAGTTCATCCTTGATTTTTGAAATTTGGTGCATGAGAGAAATGTGGGATGGTTACCCCAACTTCGGGATAGATTCAGGCCTGATCTAGCCTTGTTTTAGATCAAGCTGGAGAGACACACGTGATCAGAGCCAAACAAATTTTTCAGTCTGATGCTCAAACATTCTCCATTCTTCATTGATCACGTATATGAAAAGACCCATTAGCCTTCTAACTCTATTCAGCTCTATTTTAACATACTTTGTTTACATAACATTGGCCCCATAGAGCATTTCAAAGTAAGAAAAATAAAGATGTTGATATTGTATTAACATTGCCACTCAAGTGAGCCACTTCACAACAAGAATCTATCATTTGAGAGCCATTTTGACCCTATAAAGGGTTTTAATAGTTATTATTATTATTATTATTATTATTATTATTATTATTATTATTATTATTCAGTGCATGATAGCTTCTCACTCTTACCGCATTGGCTTAAATACTACTCTCTGTTTTCCCTCAAGAGTTAAGGTGGCTTTTAACTGCGTCCCTCTAACGCCAACGTTGGCCGCCACAATCGGTTTATACATCATGCCCTCTAGTATCATATTCACTCCATCTACATCGTCTGGAGACGTTATTTGTCGTGACTTTACCATGTTTTCCCATATAGACCAGGGATCATCAAATTCGTAGTCTATATCGTTATTTTTTCCAATATTTTTCTCTACTTTCTTTTCACCGTCCTTGTCCTCATGATTCGTAACCGTAGGTGCAGATCTTTTTTCTAGCGATCGATCCACATCTTTTCGGTTCGTTTTGAGATGATTTGTTCCTTCCTCTGATTGTTGTATATCGACATGAGAATGATCAATTCCATTATAATCCGTTTCATCCGCAAGAAATCGTGAATTCTGACTACTAACAGAAAACAACAATGGATGCTTTTCGTCCGCCGCGCGCATTCGTAACCAAATGAACGGAATAACGAGAAGAACAATACAAATACAAAACGCAAAACGCTCTTTGAACTTCATAGTTCCAAAATATACACGGTAAAAGACGGATAACGGCCAAAGGTCCAACATTTTTAAGAGCCACCAACCATCGTGTCGATGGTTCTTTTCATATTGGTACGATTTCTACCAGGCGTATGGCATTAGTAATTGATGAAAGTAAACGAGCCCGCATTGTACAGTAACTTTTCACTCTTCGGAGATATTGAAAGATTACTCGTGACATATCATTCATAAAGATACATATTTAAAGTAATCTGGTTGAAGAAATGCAATTTTATATTCATATCGGCTCTCTTGAAGGGAAATATTCACAAATTTGTACCTAAATTGATTAGCAAAATGGTATACTTTATTTTCCTCGTTCCCAGATCACTCCCTTAATCTAAGCTCAGCGGATTTCCCTCGAAGACTAAGATACAGAAACTACAGAAACTCTTGTCGTATTTAGTGCAAATGGCGGACAAAGTGAAGAGTATTGATGAATGCATTTTAACTGCAAACAACTTAAGAACAACCGTGAGAAAAGTATTTCAAGATCTTGCAGCTTCTCCTGGAGTGAAAAGAGAAAAAGCAGAATCCTCAGAGTCTAGTAAAGGTGAAAATATCACCCGACTTTTAAAGAAGAATCTCACCGAAGTTCACAAGGTTTTAAGGTACGCTCTAGTTAAGACCGATTTATCCCCATAATTTGCAACTGCTGCTGAAATAATTATTTCATACTCTACAAGGTCGCTTAAAAATGTTTTTCGAACACAAAGTTGAAAAGAAAACAGATATAAGTACTGGGCAGCTTTTGCATTTCCGTAGTGTGTAAAACTTAGCATCAATGTCAAACGTCAGACATGCACGAAGGGATCCATTTTAGCCAGCTGGGCGCAAATTTCCTGCGCAAAATTTGTAAAGAAAACGTAAAAAAACAAAGAAGTACCCGCTTTCTACGCAAACTAAGCGAAAGAAAATTAAAACTTCCATTGAAATTTGCGAGCTACCACGTGACAGGACCCGAACAATCGATGAGATCGATGATTGGTGAAAATCGATAACAAGGAATCGATTGATATTGATAATCAATAAACAACCGAACTTGAAAGTTTCTGTGATTTTCGATTCTCATCGATTATCGATTATAGTCGATTTTCATCACCAACAGAAAAGAAATACTATGAAAACCAAATTTCAAGTGAACTTCAATCACGTGTACTTGAAGTCTACTCAGATTTATAACAGGAAATGGCATTCTCACACAACAGCACACATCTTGCCACCTAGTGATCACTCTCCTGATGCAGAAGGTGAAAGCAGTTAAGATATTTTGTGGAGAGAAATGTTCTTTCAAATCGCTCATCTGATAAATGACAAACACAAATCACTTTCATGTCATTATCGATTGTTCATTGATTGTATGATACCAATTGATAACAATTAACTGATATGCATCTATGGAAACTGATTGATTCATTAGATTTCCAATCATTGATTTTCAATGAATCTTATCCTGATTTTAAAATTTAGAATATAAGTTAACTTCTTTGCTTAAAACAAGGGCATATAGTAATTAAAACATCCCAAAATGACAATGATTTTTAAAACAAGTAATTTTGGCATTTTTCTCTTATTTCAAGTACCTCCTAAGATTATGAAATATACTTCCTTATATAACTTTTTCCCTCAAATCAAGAAATTCAAAAACAGTAAACTAGGGCCGGTAACAAGGGAATGTAAGGCTGGTGTCGACTGGCCAGAGAGTAAGAGTCAGAGTTGTAGTCAGAGTCATCAGAGTTGTAAGAGTGCTTCCAGCTGAGTGAAAATTGAAAGTCGAAGTCATAAGCAGAGTTATAAGCTAGGCAGATTTGGAGTATTGAGAATCAGATTAGTTTCATGTTCTTTGGATTAGACTGCTTATGACTCTGATGTTTATGATCAGTTAAAACTTGATTGTTGGAGATAGAAGCAGACTAGGAAGAATCACCCAATCATAATAACAGTTCTCAGGCCCTTCCAGCACAGTCTTCCACTTACCACTCAGACAATTTACTGTAGTTTTTGCTGAATCATAAGCGACAGAGTAGTAAGTATTTTTTTTTTGATTCTGTTGATTTGATTTTCACTTGGTTGCATCTTATGAATTAGACTCCGACTCAGGCTCAGTCACCAATAAAAATCAACTTTAAAAGAATAAGGAAGCTGCTTGTTATATGTAGAAATTTAGCTTTCAGTGTGAATCTCAAGAATGTATATATTACATGTATTTGACAGATCTCCTCCATCTTAAGTTTAAATTACATAGTTTCAGAGTTAATTTTGTTAACTAAAGTAACAAAGAATGCTTGAGTGTTTTGATTTGCTATATTTCAATTTTGCCAGTGAGTTGGATAAAACATGCGAGGGTCTACCAACATCATCAAGTGGCTCTCTTTCTTTGGGAAATACAGGATTATTAAGCTTGGATCCTATTGAAGACAAGACTGCACTGTATGACAAGGTTCTAGACACATATGACTGGCATGAGAAGGTATTAATGATAATTCAGTTTTAGTGACTGATGCATACAGGCTTTAACTTTATATTATTGCAGTACAAGACCAGAGAAATGAAAATTATCCCTCAAATGAAGAGATACATTAAGTTAAGTTGTTCAGTTTATATTGTCTCAGTATCAAATGGTCTTTAAGTTATTGATTGAGCCAAGTCAAGATCAAATAGAGCTCATTCAATGTCACATCAACCTTTCAATCAGTGAATGTTTCTGCACTAAAATTGGGAGTGAAAATTTACATTGTGCAGGTGCATATGATTATACAATCTCTTACAGCACTATTAGAAATAACGTCTTTTGTTGTTTTATTTTAATTTATATGTTAGCTGACCTCAGAGGCTCAACAGGCATTATCATGTTTGAAAAGACATCATCCCTTGCATGGTTCAGATCGTCCTTCACCATCTCCAAAGAAGGCAAAGGCAAACTCAAGGGAGTTCCTACGAGGGTAAATGTTTTTGCAAACTAAACTCTAAAAATCTATTTAATCTTGAAATGCAACTTGCACAATGTTTAAAGTAATTTCCAGGGGCAGTTTTTCACAAAAATGTAGCTTTTGCTATGTTGGATTTGGCCTGTTGGATTGACAAGATATTGTTGGTCTGCTATTTCATGAAGTGTGATGGATTGCCATGTTATAATGGACAAAGTAATATTTGTGGGCAGGTGAACAACTCTGCAACATGTGTGACCTTGATTATGACTTGTTGATTACTCACAATGTTGCAGGGAAATTCAAAAAGCTTTGAGTGAAAGCAAGTCTTTGTATCCTTGCTTAGAGCTGTCAATATCAATGGCGCATGGAGCTCCTGTTGTTGAGGTATGAAGAGTTTTGTGTCCAGCCTATGCTAAAACAGTTTCTATGAAGTGTTGAAGTCAATTTGATAAGAGTACAAATTAAAACCTACATATAATTATTCTGACTTGAATGTGACTGGTTATTAGCAATGCAAGTCTTGTTATTTATTATTTTTTTTTAAACCCAAATTCCATTTGTAATGTTTGTGTTACTTGATTGAAATACAGCTTAAGCACAGGAATAAGTAGAACTTTTCTGACTGCCCTTACACAAATGTGGTACTGAGTGAAACTCAAGGAGATCTTTAATAATGTTTACTAGGTTGTTGTACCAAAGACATTGAAAGCAACAATGATTCTTCGCAATATGTCAGAAATTGACCAAGTCGTAATAAGAGGAATACAGGAGAGCAAGCTCCTGGATAAGGAGGTAAATAGCTGATCAACCTTTAAAAGTATTTCTTTTAC